TCAAAATACTCTTATATTAATTGTTTAAGGTTATTAAAATATACAAATATAAGATTAATTATTCATTAAATATTTTATCAATGTCAAAATTCTTCTGAATATTAATTGAAAGTATAAAATATGTCTTAAATGTATATTGTATTTCAGACATCAATTATTGATTATGTGCGTCCAGCCGATCTTAAAAAAGAATTAAATGATAAATTTCAAGATAAATTTCCACATATTGAGCTAACATTAAGTAAACTCAGAAGGTAATTAATTTTTTTAATTGAAAGCAAACACCAAATAACACAAATATAAAATTCATATTGGTTTATTCATTATTATAATTGTTATCTTTGTTTCAGTATAAAACGAGAAATGCGTAAAATTACAAAACCAGATGCTACTTCAGATTTGCTAACTATAGCACAAGCCTATGTATTTTTTGAAAGGTTATTAGTCAAAAGCTTGATTAATAAGGAAAATCGTAAATTATGTGCTGGAGCTTGTATTATTTTGTCTGCAAAGTTAAATGACATGAAAGGCGAACCTTTAACTAATCTTATTGAAGTAAGTTACTTAACCATCAAACCTCATAATATTTTGATGATTTCTTATAGTTTTTAAAAAATGTATTAATGTTATACATAAAACTGCGAATTAAATTACCAATTAATTTTATTCTGAATTTAAATGAGTTAGATTCAAATTGTTTTAATGCATTTTTGTTCTAAGTATAAAATGTTATTTTATACATATTTACATTAGTGCATATGTGAATGAATTATTGTTGTTTTTATTAAATATTCGGCCTGAAATGATAGTTTTGACTAAATTTTATAACTGTATAACTATTATTATATTATAGAAATGAAAATGAAAAGTTTATTTTGCATCGGTACAAATTTTTTAAAAATTTATCAATATTTTTTCATGATATAAATTTGTATTTATTTATGATATCATATATATTTAATATTTTGCTCACACTATTGGTAGGAAATGGTAGCATATTGTGTGTTTAGAAACCACGAGTTTGAATGCTGCATGTTTGTGATCACAATCACATCAAGTGTACACACAGTTATCAGTCAAAAATATTTATTCTTGGAACCCCATTTATTGTCCAATAAAATAATAAAACAATACTGTAAAAAAAGGATATTTATAATATATTTTATTTAAATTTATATATATATATTATACTTTTATAATCTAGTTTTTTGATGAGTGCATAGAATACTTATATAAAAATTAAAAACATAAATTTGCTGGACATGATTCATTGCACAATGATTTGTTTTGATGATCAAGTTATTTTTGTATGCCTGAAGCATAGAGTATTATAGAGGTGCCGTTCCTTATCATGACAATACTGAATTGAAGCCAAAAGCCATGATAAAATAAATAGGTGTGTCAGCTACCACCACTACATCCTGTTTATTAGTTGGTTTGCAGGGTAATTTAATGGCTTCACTTTTTAGAAAAAATAGCACCTTTATATAACTCTATGGTCTGAAGCCGCATCTTTACAACAGAAAACATTAACCTTCAACTTTTATAACTTTTTGTTATTTTATTGTAATATACAAAAATATTAATCATAGAAGCTCGAAACTTACTATTGTTACTTAAATACAATTATCTATGTTGTGCATTGTACCTATGTTATTTCTGCCTCACTAATATAGAACATACCTAATTCGGCGTTCAGAATAATCCATTTAACTCTGATATATTATTTAATTTAAAAGAACATTATCTAGAGCACACCATCTGCGTTTTATATTAAAATTTTCAAGCAAATTATGAATATTTTAAAATTGAAAATTGAAATGAAAAATAACATATTCACATTGATTATTCTAAAATATGTAAAATTTAGTATGTCATACTTTGGTAAAACAATAATAACACATGGAAGTACATCTTCCTCTTAACATTATTTTCTTTGTAAAGTAAAAAAACATTTATCAAAACTGAATTTAATATTAATTGATCATTTATATACTCGGACCAATGTAAATTCAATGTTTAATTAAAATAAAACTATTGGCCTTACTGATATAATTTTCTTTTATTAATATTAGTAATTGATTTTAGTTTCTATTCAATAATAGTACTATAATTTATATGATAAATAGTTACTTTTTTTAATTATCATTTACTTTTTTTTTCAGAGAACAGAAATAGTATTTCGACTGAGCAGAAAAGACTTAATGGTTTCCGAGTTTGGTGTCTTAGTAGCCTTAGAGTTTGGTCTTCATATACCTACTCATGAGATAATGCCACATTATCAGCGACTATTGTCCGAGTCATGACATAAATATTTAACCCTAAATACTTTAGACTTAAGTGAAATAGTGGAATATATTAGAATGAATAAATCTAACTACTTTTAATTAAATAGTTTGATTGCAACACTTTTATAACTATAGTATGCATATCGCATGTTGTTTAACTTATTAGATGAACTCGAGTTAAAATTGTAATGTAATTTATAATCCTAGATTTAAATAGTAATCCTGAATAATGTTTAAAATTGTTACCAGAAATGTATTTTTATTGTTGATTATTCATTCGTTACAAGTATTATTGTTATGTAGTTGAGGAAAAATAGAATATTGGCTTATTAATATTAATTTACCAGAAATACATTAAACTATCATAATGAATAATGAAAGCATGTTAAAAGGATGTAATTGTATGGTTTGATCTTTGTCACTTAGGTTGTAGCACATGATAAATACATGTACACGGAGATCATACTGTAAAAAAAAAAAAATAGTATGACCTCCGTTTGCGTGCATTTGCCATGTTCTATAAAAACTGAACTCCACAGACAGAACAAGACAGACAGACACAACAATTCACATTATAGTATAATATAGAAGTAATTTTACGTTAATGTATTTAATGGAAACAGAACACTAGGCGTTTAATATTTAAGTATTTGCTTGAAACAACAGATTAGTATTTAAGTATGTGATTTTTTTTAATGCCGAAATTGATCAACTAGATTGTATTTAAACTAAGTATTTTATTTTAAAAATACAAAATCAATTTCATTAATATGATTATTATGTATATTGTATGTGCTTAAGTCAAAGAATGTTGCAATAAATAATTCATACATAGCATTTATGTTATTCATTTAAATAGAAAGCAAACATGAAAAATTATACAAATTTGATGATAATTATACTTCTAACTAGCATTTAAATACATTTTTATATTATTTATACTTATTATAATTTAAATATATTTGAATCAATCAAAATAAAATAAAACTTATGACTCATATTATATTGTTCGAAAACAATAAAAATATCCGTTATGTCAGGCTGCCAGTTGCCAGTATGATGTAAATTTAGGTTTCTTACAAAGTGTTATTCTGACAATAATTATATTCAATATCATTATTTAAATTCTGAAAATGGGCTACAATAATACTTGAATCATAAGAATTAAGCTATATCTTAAGATAACAGATGCTTAACCAAATTAATAAATTAATTTAAAAAAAAATTAACCATACATCAGTTATCAGATAATATAACTTGTTTCAATAAAAAAAAAACTGAAGTTAAGTAGCATAATATGTAATTAAATTGTCTGAATTAAAATTTTAATTAAAAGTAAATAAGTTATCTGGAAGTATTTTATGGGCCTTACATAGGAATATGACTTAAAAAAAATTGTTTTATTTACCTAACCTATAAATTTACCCTGAAAATGATCTCACCTGTCGTAGATGCAAAGTACAAATGACACATCTCTTTCTGAAATATTAAACCTGTATTAACCTAACCAGTTACTAGTGACACACCTAGAGGGGCTTTGAAGCTTAGTAGTAAAGCTACATTGCTAAAGGTAATTAAGATCTAGGTAAACACTAAGAGGTGTATGATGTATTCATATTCAAATTTTAACCACATGTACTTTATTTAAGTTTGAAAAATTCAGACAAGATTTCTCATCTTAAGGCGATTGGAAGCAGCGTATTTATTTCACGTTTTGGACCTAAAAGCCTGACAAGATTACGCACACTTAAAATGATCATATTTTAATTCTGTAAAAAGATTTGAGTTTATCGACCTTTTTTCTAGGTTATTGTGGAAATCAATTTTTGATATTTTTTTAAAAATTGTTTTTAAATCATTTTTGAGTTTCTAAATTTTTTTTTAATTTTTAGATTTACTTAAGTGTCTTTTTTAATAATGTTAAACAGTTATTCTAAAATTGACTTCCACAATAACCTAAAAAACACAATGACAAGTACAAATATTTTTACAGAATTAAAATACGATCATTTTGAGTTGTTTTAAATTGAACAATTTCTTCAACAAATTCTACTTCTAAATCATAAACATAATACTCCACAAGCTTTAGTACTTTTTTACGTAGTTCACTTGCTTCAATATTTTCCAAATATGGAATATAACATACTAATGAATCATATAGAGAAACTACACATGACAAATCAATATTAATTAACTGGAAACTTTTAGAAGTTTTGTCAAATCTTTCTAAAAGAGGCGTCCAAACAACTAAAAGAAAGACAAAATCTAATGATTTTATTTTATTTTAGATTGATTTGGCTTCATGTTTAACTGCATTTCATTGATTTGAATCATTATGTAACAACTCTAAAGCAGCGAGAATTCCAACATATCCATTTTTAATTGATTTACAAACTCAGTGCCGTGATGACCAACGAGTATGACATAAGTTTTTTAGAAGTTGTGCATTAGGAATTTCATCTAACTATTTCGATAAAGTATTCCACCTCGAGGTAGACGCAGAAAAAAAAGTACATAACTTTTGAGCTCTCAAAAAGAATGTATTTCCCATACTGGTTAGTTCTGCAGCAAATGTTAAAACTAAATTTAAAGAATGGGCTGAACATGGTACAAATTCTGCTGTACTTAATATTTGCTTAATCCTTGCTTGTAAGCCATTATAGATGCCTGACATATTATTAGCATTATCAAACGACTGACCTCTGCAACTTATCATATCAATGTCCAAGTTTTAAACATTTTCAATAGTTCCAATTCCATTTCTTTTGCTTTGTGACCAACTGAAGGAATAAACCCTATAAATCTCTCTACAGGTAAACCATATTTGTAAATGTATCGTACTGCCACAGTTAATTGGTCTACCTTTGTAACATCTGGTGTTGAGTCAACAATTATTGAAAAGTATTTGGTAATTTTTATTTCTTTAACAATACATTGTAACACAGTTTTACTCATAAGGTCAATAAATTCATCACATATTCTACTTGATAAATAAGATACATTTCCACGACCTCTATTAGAGTATTTATCAATGTGATTAGTGAGAAATGGATCAAACTTTGATCGGAGTTCGAGACAGCCTAGATAATTTCCATTAAATTTGGAACCAATTTTTTCATTGTCTCCTCTAAATGCTAGACCTCTAGTAGCTAAAAATGATATTGTTTCAATTAATCGATGAAGTAATTTTGTCCAATACTCTTCTTCTTTATTAATTTCTATTTTAAGAGATTTGCCTATACAGTATTGGTTATCAAGCTGCCTAGAATGCCATTTACGAACTGATTCAGTATGCTTAATACATTTTTCATGGTTATTGACATCCAATAAACAATTTTTCCAATCAATATATCCAGATCCTGGACGACTAAATTTAGTTTTTCTCTGAGCAAAAAGTAAACAATAGAAACAAAATAGTGAATTTTGAGAACGAGAGTATAAAAGCCAATTACGATGTTTGAATTCACCATTTAGTGATTTTCTGAAAAACGCTTCACGTGGCAATTTCCTATTATATTTACCAATTCTTCGGAAAGTTTTGTTAAATTGGATGTCTACCAAATTTGTCGTTACTTGATTTTTAGAATAATACTCAAATTCTGATTCATTCAAAATCCATTTGGCTGGATCATTACTGAACCAGCAATCATATTGAAAATTTGTATCTGTTACGTTACATTTAACTTAAAATTAAAAAATATACAGGGTGTTTCTGAAGTGTGTGAGGTAGTTAGTATACGCATACTCACTATGATGCCACAATGAAGATTTTTTTGGAATTTTTTTTTCTAACTTCAAAATCTAGGTCCTTTTAAGTTATTTTTAGAATATTATCTTGAATGTAAAAATAAACACTCTAGACGTATTTTTTGCAAATTTCTCATACGAATCGAGATATCGCATCATTTTTGCGCGTTTTTCGCGCTCGAATCGCCAACTAAAAAAGAAGTCGTGTGACACATTGATTTGTATGAGAATACTGCAAGATAACCAGTGGTGATAATTATTTGTTGTCATTGATAATACACGATTAATTAACACATTGTTTTACATTGTCGACTAATAAAAAATATGAAATAATAACAAAATTAGGGTTAACCGAGGGGTTAACAGAGTTTTAAACTATCAAATTTACTAGCATACATTTGTGTCATACCTTAGAAGTTAGAAAAAAAATTCCAAAAAAATCTTCAATGTGGCATCACAGTGAGTATGCGTATACTAATTACCTCACACACTTCAGAAACACTCTGTATATAATTACCTACTTAATTTTAGTATTAAATATATTAAGAATTTACACAATGACATTTTTTAAAAAATGGTTAATACTTTTATATTAAAAAATACAAATTATATAATATAGCTACCTAACAATTATGCTGAGAGTATTTAAAATGTTATACGAAGGTCACAACTAATTAATAGTTTTTAGTTTTAAAATTAATTAAAAAGGTAGGTATGTCAAATTTGTTTGGTAATAATTTTTTTATACTTACAGTTTCAAATGTGTCAACATTGTTGGTTTCTATATTCTTTATTTTACGGTTCTGACTAGCTTCTTTTTCATCAAAATCTATACTCAGTGGTCGAAATGGCTTAAGATAAGTGGAGGGATGCCTTACAATTCACATTTAGGCCTATACGAAAAATAAAAAGTTTTCTTATACATAGGTATAAATATAAAAATCATAGTAATTATTTCATTTTAAACACAAGTCTTAGAAGGAATGCGTTACTCTAGACAAAATAAGTAGAGGGATGAAAAATGTAAATACAAAAAAGTAGAGGGATGTCATCCCTCCGTATCCCCCCCCCCCCACTTCGACCACTGTCTATACTAGTAGGCACAATCCTTACACAAATTTGATCTTTGACTTGATTTGACATGATTTCATTCTAAAATTAATTATAAATTAAAATTAAAGGGTACTACAAAATTCTAAGAGCAAAAAAATAAAATTAATTTTAAGAGCAATTTTTTCTTCTGTGATTTTTTTATTTTTGGTGTTAACTGTTTATACTCCTGATAAAATTATATAAGTCCATATTCTTGATATAAATTATTTTATTGTTTTGACTTACTTTCTTTTTACCATCAACATTTACAACAGGCATATTCCTAGCATTAATCTGGTCTTTTACTTGAACTTGTAGCAATTTGTTGGTTTCATTCTAAATAAATAATAAGTAGGTACATATCAAAATCAAAAAATATTAAATAATACCTAAACTTTTATTTGATACTTACAGTATAACAATTATTACTACCGTCCACATTCATGTCATCATTAGTTTTATAATTATGAATCTCTTCTTTTTTCCCATCTACTTGAGTTACAATCTTATTATGAACTTCATTAGGCTAAATCAATTAAAATTAAATATTAACGAACATACAAACATTTATTTTAATCAAGATTAACCACATTGTTCTAGTAAATATTTTAAGTCACTTGTGGTCTTGCACGACTGTTATTTTTATTAGTAGTAGTATTATTCTAAGCTAATATAAAAGCATCAAAAGCTTCCCAAAATCACAAACACTATTCCTTAAGAATTAAAATGTACACTTACTTTTATTTTAAAATAAGTATAAGTATCTAATTTTGTAGTTTTTCTGATTAAATTTTCTTCTCTTTCTTTTTTTGCTTTCGACATTTTTCTGTACTGAAAACCACTTAAACGTTTACGTTTATTTACATCAGAAATTTTAAAAAATAATATGAAAATCCACTTGAATAAAATAAAATAACTCAATGTAAATAAACTATGTAAAAATTGTTATAAACTCTTAAGTCTTCGTTGTACGTAGGTACTAGGTACAATTGTCACTTTTCGTCGTTTGACGAAATATTGAATATTGAATAATATAAAAATATAGCGACATGACAGTGCGAGACCATTTACGATTTACCATTATATTATTATTTATTAATATTTAATATTATATTATGTTATTATCATGTCGATTATTCAATAAAAATAAATTTTCCGAAAAATGGTTAAAAATAGCTTGTTAATGGGTAATTAACAATTTGCAAATTAACAAATTTGATCGGGTAGATCAGTCACCTGCCCCCCGCCGTCATCCGTAGGTCAACAAGCCAGTGTAGGCACACACTAGTCCATAATCATAAATTACAATTTAAAACACTTTTTCATAGATGAAATATTTTATTTTAAAATAGATAGTAGATATTAGATTTTTTTAATTTTTGTGACCTTGACGAATTTAGAGTACCTATAAACTAATGGGAAAGTTTTTTGCCACCCTATAAAATATAGCTACTCTTGCCGCCCTGGGGCACTTGCCCTGATTGCCCCCCCCCTTTGCAAGGCTCTGATAACAATAATCAAAAACTTGAGTGTGTATAATGATTATTACATTATTTTTCATTTGTCCGGTCTATGTTTGTGAGATCTTGAGGTGAGTGTATGATGTCCGTGAATTTTACGAATCAAAATGAAAGTACCTAGGTGCTATGGTGCCCTAGGTAAGTACCAAAGGCGGGCATTAACTTGTTAAAAAGTTAAAATTAAGTTAAAGAGTTAATTTTTTTAATTGAAAATGAAGCAATTGAACACTAAAAATAACAATTCTCAAATTTTTAGTTAAAATATGATAAAAGAATTCCTAAAATAATGTAATGCCATACATCAAAATATTAAAAACAACAGAATATTATAATTTTAAAAAAAAATATGAAAATTGTTCAATAAGGGTTCAAAAGTCAAAGTGGTTTCCCATAAATATACCACAACTGTCTATGGAGGTGCCGACGAGCACTCGTGCCCTCCTCATGAATTCTTGGTATTCGCACACACAACTTTCGATCTACCCCCACCGATATGTGTTGTCTACCCGCAGAAGACCTTTAAGTTGAAAACTGAACATATTATAACACAGACACACCGACCGTGCACAGTTGAACATTTCTCTGGAGAGGGTTATCGAAATTGTGATATACATAATACTTGATAGGTATGTATATTGTATATTGAGGTCATGTGTTTGGTATGCAATGTTAAGAACTATAAAATTATTTATATTGGGTTATTATAATTTGTTGAAATACAGGTCAATTTTTTAAGCAGATTAACACCTTTTAGATTTTTAGGGGAGCCATGAATGTATTATTGATGTGTGTTTTTTAATTTTTTTTTGTGTCTGTCATCACTTTTTGAGGTATTAAAAATGCTTCACTTTTCTTCTACAGTATCTCTTCCGGTAGGTACTTTGGGGGATCATAAGTAAAAAATGTTCAATAGTTTTCCGAAGCGGCAGGAAAAATAAACAAACATTAAGATTTTTAAGACAAAACCAGTTTTTGAAAATTTTGATTTTTCGCTTTAGTGTAACTCTAAAAAATATAATTATAGATGAAATTTTCCCTGAATGGTGATATAAGCCATCTCTATGCACCATAACATTTTCGAAATATTTTGACTCTTTTAAAAAAAAATTAGGGTTTAATAATTTTCTTTTAAAATGTTTAAAACAAGAATTCTCAGGAATAGTTTATAATATTATTGTAACCAAAAAATCTAAAAAATATATAAATACAGTTATTTTTTAAGCATTTTAAGTTCGAATTGGACGAATTTACATTTTAAAACCATGAATAACGAATTTAGTTATTTTGTTGCAATTTAAAAAATATTTTCATGGGTACTTGAGACTTTTGGAGTACATTATATTATTGTATACAGTGTAGTGGTCTACCGACTACAGGTGTCGTTGAATGGAAAATGATGAGGTGTATTTAATTAATTTGTAACGCTTGAGGTATGAAGTTGTACTTACTATAGTTTAGAATAGAAAACAAATGTAATTTAAACTGTGATTCGAATAATCTGCATTAGAATACTGGTCACAATGTATAATTCAGAGTGTTCAGAAATATATCTAGTTGAGTCAAATATTTTCTAAGTCCAAATAATAAAATCAAAAGACTAACTAGCGTGAAGATGCTCTGGCTGTTCTGGTCAAATCACATCTGAATATGGGCTGTTCGGGGGTCTCCTATATAGGCCTACCCTCTACTTCTCCTAGCCACCTTGATACGGGTATCTTTCCCACGAATGCTGTGTCCGCCGGCTATCGTTCCGGGAAATACTAACGGCCCACGCCTCGATACGACCGTCCTAAGTGCACATCCTGCAGCGGTATTCTGTAACTCGATAAGTTGGTATCGACATAAGTCGTTAATGAGCGCTTATCGAATTTCACGTTATGTATCGAACTTTCTTAACGAAATTGCGATTCTGTAATATCAATTATTACTAATTTTTCGTTACAAAAATTATTTTTATGTTACCGAGAATTTCGTTATTCTTATCGAATAACCCAAAGAGTTTTATAAAATTAACCAATCAAAAACTATCTTGCTGATAACCAAATTGTATTATCACACAATTT